GATGATATCTTAACAGTTATTAAGTATGGAGGACAAGTAATTGCTCTAGCGGAAAAATCTACAAATCTTCATATTTAATTAAAATAATAATTAGAAGCCAAAGCATGTAAAATTTTTGAAAGTGATATAAAAAATTACATTATCATAAACACTCACTGCAAAAATAACTCAAAATAATGTGCTTACTGGGGATTCACAACTGAGCTTTTGGCTCCATTCCAGGATAGTTGCCAAGCAATTGTTAAAAAAGTAGGCCATCAGTATCTAGACACTGCCATTGGGGGACATGTAGGGGGGATGTTCTAAAAACCGCACAATAAAGTGGTGGTAAACAACCTCAGGAATGAAATATGATACAAAGCGCATCCTTCTATAGTGTGTACCATAGCATGTACTTGTCCTCATTTAAGAGCACTAACCCCATCGTTCACACTGAATATGCGACTTTGAAATTGTGAGACTTCACTTGAAGTCACTCAAAATTTAAAGTGACATGTCAATGAGACATCAGATATGACTTGTAAGAACATTTGTGCAACTTCTCATGCACAGATGTCAATGATAAGTCAGCAAACAGAAGTCGGCAAAAAGCAGTGCGGGAAAAAACGCTTTTCAAATTGGTAACAAACTCAGACGAAGTTAGAGTCACTCAGATTAGAACTGTTCCATTGCCACTCATAGGGTGCAACTTGTCATGCGATTTGACACTGTCAAACCACATGACAAGTTGCAATGGTGTGAACCAGGGCTAATTGTTTTTTCTTTCTGCTGCTTCATTCTCTGCTATCAACATGAATCACTTTTGACAATTTTTCCTGACCCCAAAGAGAAAAAAGGTGAGCTGTGTGGAGGGGTGTGTGTTTCTTCCCTCAAACATCCAGGTCTCAGAGCTCTCCTCACTGAGCGCTGCAGAGTGCAATTACAGCTCTCCACCCCATTTTTTGGAACTCTCAGAACAAGCTGCAGAAAGTCAGCACTTTAAACAGATGTAGAGAAGAGAAGTCTGCAGATGGACAGGTGCAACATATGTAGGAGGATTTGTTTTCATTTCTGTGCATCACCTGAGGCCAGTTATTTCACTGGGTATATGTAAGGGTTCGCAACCTCTTAGGCTGCAGAATTTAGTACAATGTATTCCTTTTAAAAGTAACATTTAAATTCCTCTATAAAACTCCTACCAGACTCTTATCCAGGCTTACACCATGGTGGACAGGAGAGGGATTTCTGCAAGCATTCCACCCCCTCCTAACTGTAACATACCAGGCTATATGCCCTTCAACACTGGGGGGGAGGGCAAAGCCTCCCCTGTGTAAGGAAACATTTCCAGTTTTTGAAGGACAAGGACCACTTCCCCACATCCTGTCCCTAAGAGGATGTTAGCTTTATGGGAATCTGTAAGTCCTTTTATAAACAATGGGGCCCCTAGATATCCACAACCTCAGGGAATGAGTAAAGGTTAAACTGATACCCCTTATTACTGATTCCCAAGATAAAGTCAAAAAGCATATTAAACACACTATGACAAACAGCTAGGCTGCTGAACTAATGTTCAACCAGAACCTTATCCTCAACCTCATTACCTAAAATATACTGAACTTACATAACATAGTTACATAGTTAGTCTGGCTGAAAAGAGACAAAAATCCATCCAGTTCAACCATAGGAAAAAAAAAAAGTTATAATCCTATACCCACAGTTGATCCAGAGGAAGGCAAAAAAAAACCCAGCAAAGTGCAATCCAATTTGCTCCTACAGGGAAAAAAATTCCTTGCTGAATTACTATATTTAATGTGAATTGAAATTGGTTAATGCTATCCAGCAAACATCACATGTCCTATCCAGCAAGCCATGCTTAAATTAGACAATCCTCTCAATTCGACTTAATTTGAGTTCTTTGTAACCCACTGCCACCAAAGGCTGTGCTGTATAAATTACCAATCAATTAAGATTTCTGGACGGTTTGAAATTGTTTGGTGACTATGCATTCTTGGTGCTGACAAATACATCAGACTTTCAGTAACTGTGGGAAAACAAGGTCTCTGCTTTGGTTATGTTTGGGGTTATCTCTTCAGCATTACAAATAGCAAGCAAAATGAGATTATTAACATGGCAAATGGCAGCAGGGGGACTGGTACACTACAGCTATGCCTGGATGAAAACAGAAACCCTGATCAGGCTTACTGTGATACATATATAGCATGTTCAATTCTTTAATTTTTTACGTTTTTAACTGCAGTGCACCTTTCACCTTTTTGCTACTTGAGATAGTTTTGTATTTTTTCACAAGTGTTAAAATGCATATTTTATGCCTGATGATTGGTTAAACCACATAAACATTATATATTTTCTGAAAGCAGTGACTCTGAGGAATAAAGTGAAGGCAGTTGCAGTTTTTTTATTTCACATGACATTAGTGCAGCAGCTTAGTTTTTTTTGCACAACAAAGGCAATATTTTACCCAACTTTTTGCTACAATGCAACGAAGAAAATTGTGCTGAGTAGATAGTTCATGTGTGTGTGTTCATGCAATGGTGATAAACTTGAGTACCTACAATTGCCAATGCAGTATGTGATGCTTTTAAAAGTCCTTTAAACCCCTTGGCGCCAGCGCCTCCCAGCCCTTTAAGGGTTTCAGAAGCCGGGAGGTGGGGTTTTAGGGACATGTGACCGCCGTGATTCGCTGTCATGGTGGTCACATGATCGGGAAAGGTCCTGATCGAAAAGAGGAGATTGGAACCTTTCCGTGAGTACCGGACATGGGGCGCATGCTCATCAGCACATATGTTTTTTCTTAATTGCACGCAAATGTGCGGCCCGCTCCAGTGTCAAGGCCCAGACGCCGGGAGGCTGCACATTTGCGTGTGGCCGGCACCAAGAGATTAATCATTTGTTTAGTTGACCAAGAATAAGAGCCCTAGATTTATTGTTCACACTCTGGTGTATGTGGCAATTTGTAATATCTGTTATTCAGCAGTGATTATTGTATGTAACATGTACATGGGGTTGGGGGCTGTATTTGGTTTTTTTTTTACATATTCATTTGTTTTTATTTGACTTTAAATATTTGAACTTTTTTTTTTTACTTAACTATTGCCAGCACACAGATAACCAATAGCCCTATATGATTTCATATTTATAAATGGACGGTACTTTTTATTGAGATATCAGGGATCTTAGACCACTGATGTCTCCAGGGCCGTCTTTATTATTGATTGGATCCTGGGCAAAACATTTTCTTGGGCCTCCTTTCCCCCCATGCAATTGCACTCTGCACCACACAAAGAGACTTATCTAAAAAAACCTTTCAAGTGGTTCTAAAGGCTCAAGGTATTTTTAACTATGCATGATGGTTAAAAACCTTTTGTGTGCAGCAGCCACCCCAAAAACTTACCTGAGCCACCACTCAATCCAGTGATGTTGCACAAGAGCCTCAGTTCTCCAGAAATTGTCACTTCAGATTGCCTGAGGCAGCAGTGGGAGCTATTGGATCCCACTGCTGTCAATCAAAGCTAGTGAGCCAATCAGGAGAGGGAGGGGGGTTGGAGGGACCGAGCTGCGGCATGTGTGTGTGAAAAACTAAACTGACTTGCTAGCTGGATAACCAGGTGAAAATAAAAATAAAGAAAGCCTTAAAAAAGAAAACAAATGCAGCCACCACATCTAAGAATTGGTAAGCTGAAAAATAGCAAATGTTTGCTTTTGTGTTTAACCGCTTCCCGACCGCCCTGTAGTAGAAATACTGCTAAAAGAGCGGCACAGGTGCGCAAAATCACATATATATACCGTATTTTTCGCTCCATAAGACGCACTTTTTTTCCCCCAAAAATATGGGGGGAAAATGTCTCTGCGTCTTATGGAGCGAATACTGACCAGTCCTCCACCTGTCACCGCCGCCGTGTTAGTGCCAGCGGCTGTCCCATCCCAGTGCAGCCTGTCCCCTCCCACTGCAGGCTGTCACCGAAGTTCACCCTGCCCTCTCTCAGCGGGCTGTCCTCGCAGCTCTTCATAGCAGGCAGTCCCCTCGCCGAACCCAGCCAGCTTGCTCTGCAGTCCGGTCCGCCCTGCAGGCGTGGCCTGTCCTCGGAGCTCGTCCCCGCTCCTGGCATGTCTATGTACTGAGCTCCCAGCTCTGCAGTCCGGTCTGCGGGTGTGGCCTGTCCTTACAGCGCCTCCCCTTTCCTGGCATGTGTCCATAGTGTGCTCCCTGCTCTACAGTCCGGTCCTATCTGCTGGTGTGGCCTGTCCTCGGAGCTCAGTGCGCCCCCTGCCTTCTGTAAGTTAAAATGACAGATGCTGGGAGTTGTAGTCCTTTTCCTTGGTGTATGGTGTCAGATCATTTGATATTCTGGGTGGAGGGGCCCTGTTGGGACTTTATATGATGTAGTGTGTCCGCAGTCTCTGGTCATCTCCTGTACTGTGTCCGCAGTCTCTGGTCATCCCCTGTACTGTGTCCGCAGTCTCTGGTCATCCCCTGTACTGTGTCCGCAGTCTCTGGTCATCCCCTGTACTGTGTCCGCAGTCTCTGGTCATCCCCTGTACTGTGTCCGCAGTCTCTTGGTCATCCCCTGTACTGTGTCCGCAGTCTCTGGTCATCCCCTGTACTGTGTCCGCAGTCTCTGGTCATCTCCTGTACTGTGTCCGCAGTCTCTGGTCAATTTCCTGTACTGTCCGCAGTCTCTGGTCATCCCCTGTACTGTGTCCGCAGTCTCTGATCATCCCCTGTACTGTGTCCGCAGTCTCTGGTCATCCCCTGTACTGTGTCCGCAGTCTCTGGTCATCCCCTGTACTGTGTCCGCAGTCTCTGGTCATCTCCTGTACTGTGTCCGCAGTCTCTGGTCATCCCCTGTACTGTGTCCGCAGTCTCTGGTCATCCCCTGTACTGTGTCCGCAGTCTCTGGTCATCTCCTGTACTGTGTCCGCAGTCTCTGGTCATCTCCTGTACTGTGTCCGCAGTCTCTGGTCATCTCCTGTACTGTCTCCGCAGTCTCTGGTCATCTCCTGTAATGTGTCCGCAGTCTCTGGTCATCTCCTGTACTGTGTCCGCAGTCTCTGGTCATCTCCTGTACTGTGTCTTCAGTCTCTGGTCATTTTCTGTACTATGTCTGCAGTCCATTGGTTCAGAATATTTTTTTCCCCAGTTTCTGCCTCTAAAACCTAGGTGCGTCTTATGGTCAGGTGCGTCTTATGGAGCGAAAAATACGGTAAGTGATTTTGCATTTCCTGGTAGTGGGCGAGCACGAGCAATTACTCGGTGATTACTCAACGTGATTTCTGAGGATCTCTGACATGGAGGAAAACTGTCTTATTTACTAACAGTTCTCCTTCCTGTCAGCTCGGGCACACTGCTTTGGATGGCTGTGCACAGCACATCCATTCAAAGCAGTGTGCTTACAGTGAAGCACACAGACATCACCCCATAGTAAAACACACCCAGCACACAGTTAACCCTCTTGTTAACCCTTCCTTCCCAGTGCCATTAGTACAGTGTCAGTGATTTTTTTTTAGCACTGATCACTGTATTTGGTGTCACTGGGGATGTCAGTGACACCAAGTCAGTTTCCCCCAGTATCAGAATGTCCGACACAGTCCCACTATAAGTTTGCTGATCACCGCCATTACTAGTAAAAAAATTGTAAAAAATCCCAGTATATACAGTAAACCGCCACTTGTAAATGCTATAACATTCTCATAAACCAATTAATTTACACATATTGGGATTTTTTTTTTTTTTAGCAAAGTCATGTAGCAGAATACTTTTTGTCCTAAATTTATGATGAAATTTGATTTTAAAATTTTTTTTACTGGATATGTTTAACAGCAAAAAGTCAAAAATATAGTTTTTTTCTCAAAATTGTCAGTCTTTTTTTTATAACACAAAAAATATAAAATGCACAGGTTATCAAATACCACCGAAAGAAAGCTAGATTTGTGGGAAAAAAAAGGATGTAAATTTTATTTGGGTGCAGCATTGCATGACCGCTCAATTGTCAAAGTAACGCAGCGCCATGACGCACAAAATTGCCTGGTCAGGAAGGGGGGTAATCCTCTAGAAGGCAAGTGGTTAATACTGCTTTAAGGAGTCAAAAATATTAAATTACATGCACTCCAATTATCCAGTTTTATTTATTTATTTATTTATTTATTTAATCTGCACCTGACTGGGTATTCAAAGCAAAGACAGCTATACTTTTCTAAGAGAAGAACTGCAACAACTTTAGTAAATTAGCTTTAAATATCCAGATTAGTCTTTGTCTTATATTATTCTTATTAGCATACTCAAAGGAGGAGTAAACCCTAAATGAACAACATTTATGCCTTTGTCTTTTTATTAAAAAAAACCTACTTGTTTTCACCACTTTTTTTTTCTTTATTGCGATTCTCAGCGATTCTGATCTACAGTAGTCTCTGTGCTGCCACTTCCTGCTTACATGTAGTTCAATGATGATATTTCTCAGAGCAGATTGCCTGATGGTGAGAAAAGTAGACTGTACCTGCATAAATGTTTCCTGAAAATGGACACATGTAGTCTCCATTGGGCAAGTGTGTGACAGGATGACAACAGAAAGGAATAGAAAATTAAGTCCTGCTAGATCACTTCATGCTGTCCCCTACTGCAGGTACAGCAATATAAAACATTAAAAATAAGTGTCTATACTGTTTAAAATCCAGTAATACACTGTCTCACTCTGCATTGCACATGTTTAGTTGCTCTCTATGTTTTGACACTGTCCTAAAAGGGCATTCTGCTGACAGACTAAAGATTTACTGCTACTCAGGGGCTCTGGGCTGCAGAAAAATGGCAGCCTATGACAAGAAGAAACAGCAACAATGCTGGAGGCAATTTACAGTACACACACTAATTTTGGTAGCATAATTATTACTGTGAAATGTATGTTCCTTGCTAAAGAAGTTGTTATGGGTAAAATTCTTTAAACTTTGACAATAAAAACCTAGAAGCTGATTGGCTACCATGCACCGTTGCACCAGATTTTGCACGTATCAGTTTTCCAGTTTTAGTAAAATCAACCCCATAGCGTTGTTACCACATAACATTAAGTGCTTGAACAATTATCTACAATACAGGATCACCAGCTATATATTTATTCAAAGCTGCAGATATAAAAATATTGTAGATTATTTTTAAAATGATATTAACATATTAAAAGCATACATAGGATTTTTACTGGGTTGAATGGGTCGAATATTGAAGTGGAAAATGTAGCATTCCAGTTATTTATTTTTTTTTTACTTAGAAAGGTTTAATATATAGGAGTGGGCCATAATCCATCCTCAGTACTGTAGAGTTCTAATCAATAGCTACAGAAAGCATTCGGTTGAGGTTAATACTTTTGAAGAAGGTAACATTGCTTATTAAGCATAAAGGTTTATGTATGTTATATCAATGCCCAGGACTAACAATCAACTTTCAAAAAAAAAAATAATAATAATAATATATATATAATATATATATATATGTATATATATATATATATATACAGTGGGGATCGAAAGTTTGGGCACCCCAGCTAAAAATTTGTATTAATGTGCATAAAGAAGCCAAGGAAAGATGGAAAAATCTCCAAAAGGCATCAAAATTACAGATTAGACATTCTTATAATATGTCAACAAAAGTTAGATTTTATTTCCATCATTTCCACTTTCAAAATAACAGAAAACAAAAAAATGGCGTCTGCAAAAGTTTGGGCACCCTGCAGAATTTATAGCAGCATGCACTGCCCCCTTTGCCAAGCTGAGACCTGCCAGTGTCATGGATTGTTCTCAATCATCGTCTGGGGAAGACCAGGTGATGTCAATCTCAAAGGTTTTAAATGCCCAGACTCATCTGACCTTGCCCCAACAATCAGCACCATGGGTTCTTCTAAGCAGTTGTCTAGAAAACTGAAACTGAAAATTAGCTGACGCTCACAAAGCTGGAGAAGGCTATAAGAAGATAGCAAAGCATTTTCAGATGTCAATATCCTCTGTTCGGAATGTAATTAAGAAATGGCAGTCATCAGGAACAGTGGAAGTTAAAGCAAGATCTGGAAGACCAAGAAAAATATCAGACAGAACAGCTCGCAGGATTGTGAGAAAAACAATTCAAAACCCACGTTTGACTGCACGATCCCTCCAGAAAGATATGGCAGACACTGGAGTTGTGGTACACTATTCCACTATAAAGAGATACTTGTACAAATATGGTCTTCATGGAAGAGTCATCAGAAGAAAACCTCTTCTACGTCCTCACCACAAAAATCATCGTTTCAACTTTGCAAATGAACATATAGACAAGCCTGATGCATTTTGGAAACAAGTTCCGTGGACCGATTAGGTTTAAAATTGAACTTTTGGCCGGAATGAGCAAAGGGTTGTTTGGAGAAGAAGGGGCACAGAATTTAATGAAAAGAACCTCTGTCCAACTGTTAAGCATGGGGTTGGATCAATCATGCTTTGGGGTTGTGTTGCAGCCAGTGGCACAGGGAACATCTCACGAGTAGAAGGAAAAATGGATTCAATAATATTTCAGCAAATTTTGGATGGTAACTTGATGCCATCTGTGAAAAAGCTGAAGTTAAAGAGAGGATGGCTTCAACTACAAATGGATAATGATCCTAAAACACACCTCGAAATCCACGGGAATTACATCAAGAGGCGTAAACTGAAGGTTTTGCCATGGCCTTCACAATCTCCTGACCTCAACATAATTGAAAATCTATGGATAGACCTTAAAAGAGCAGTGCGTGACAAGACAGCCCAGAAATCTCAAAGAACTGGAAGACTTTTGTAAGGAAGAATGGGCAAAGATACCTCAAACAAGAATTGAAAGACTCTTGGCTGGCTACAAAAAAGTTTTTACAAGCTGTGATACTTGCCAAAGGGGGCAGTACAAGATATTAACTCTGCAGGGTGCCCAAACTTTTGCAGATGCCATTTTTTTGTTTTCTGTTATTTTGAAAGTGTAAATTGATGGAAATAAAATCTAACTTTTGTTGACATATTATAAGAATGTCTAATCTGTAATTTGATGCCTTTTGGAGATTTTTTCCATCTTTCCTTGGCTTCTTTATGCACATTAATACAAATTTTTAGCTGGGGTGCCCCAAACTTTCGATCTCCACTGTATATATATAGGAAAGGTAAGGTAGCCATAACAAATTGCTCAATTAGATAAAGCATGATAAATATGCTATTTACACTAGAGTGTGCTTTTTTATTATAAAAACAAAGGATTTTCAGTTTATTAAAGGCACTGCCACATGGATAATCTGAATTTATCACATGTTTTATCAGTGTGTAAGGTATTACTGCTATAAATATCAACTGATATATTCAATTGCATAGTGTATTGCTCCTTAAAGTACATAAGAAACAGTTAGGTTTGTGAATTGACCACTTTTAGAGAGATGAAATGACAAAGTTAAAATAACTCATCTACTTTGATGAATTCATAAACCCAAAAGCAAACAATGATATAATGCAGCTTACCAATTCTTAGATGCAATGGCTGCATAGGTTTCATTGTTTAGGCTTTCTTTCCTTTATTTTCATCTGATGATCTAGTCCATAAGTCTGTTGTTTTTTTC